AGATTTGTCACAAATAAATACCTCAAAGAATACTTGTTGTAGTCGTCCGATAGTCCAACGAAACCAATGGCTTTTAAAGGGCTTTCCCTGTGATTCACATCTCTGGATGTGTTCAGACAATAACATAATAAAGCGCTGGAATATAATGAGAAACAGATTCTTCTGATCGGATTGCGCCGCCTCTAAGCGCTCCTCAATGCGGTCCACCATCTCTTCGGTGGGCCCTTCGCTCTCTTGAGTCGTATCTCCCGTTTCCATCTGTAAATCAAAGCCAATATTTAACGTTACAATAAATCACATAAAATGCCTTTTAAGCTAACTTTTCGTAATTTCTCTTTCGATTCTTCCAATTCTTTTTCCAGTGATTCGACACTTCGTATCGACGTTTGAATGGTTTGGTGAAGAATTTCCCAAATATAGGATCTGTTTAATGATTCAATTTGAATAAAATTCTAAAAGTATGAAGACTTTGAGAAATACTTCATGAATTCCGACGAATTGTCTTTAGAGAAGAGCCAATTGGCTACAGAAGAGCAGTCGAGAACTTCGGACTTCAATAACTTACTGATGAGAACAACCAACAACTGAATCAACGATAAAATATAACAAATATCATATTAAACGCAATGTTAGGATCACCAATGAATGAAAGACCTGTTGATGTTTTCTCCAAACTTCAAAAATTGCACTCAAAATACAAATCTGCGCCTCGTCTGAGGTTTTAAGCGCAATGAATGCCGAATGATATCTAAATAAGATTTATAATACAGATATTTATCATTAAACAGACTGTATTAACAAAATTTAAATTCATTACTTAGCAATAGCTGAAAAGCAATGCGTTAATGATTTTGAGGCCATGTTTAGCAAAACTGTAACAAACACTTCAATTTGAATCGGATTATGGTTTGGCTCTAAATTAATGAAACAATTGATAAAATGAGTCAAAATTATAATTAATGTCTCAAATCAATACCATCTTCTGTTTCCATCAAAGGGTTTGTCAACTCTTTAAGGACTTCAAGTGCCTCTTCTGGAGTGCATTTCTCTCTGATTTTGTTGACTAAAGTCGTGGCGACAGCAGAAGCGGCAGAGTCTGGGTCTTCTGCACTAAACTTATTGGAAGGGTTGGGCTCTTCGGGCGCCAACTCAAGGAAAGAGTCGGGAATTATTTTGACGACCTGTTCGTGAAAAGACAATCGCAAGCATCGCAACAGAGTTTCGCGAATAAACTTAGGCTTCGGGTGCAACGGGTCTAATGTAAGGGCCGAACTCCAGTCATCCCAACTCCAACGGAACTGGAAATTACTCAAATGGTAGGCAAACCAAATGGCAAACCGGTCGACACACATGCAGTTCATTGTGTCGAGTCTTTCAAACAGCAATTCGACGGCTTGTGCTAACTGTCAACAAATCATTGAATCAATAGTTTGTACTCTGCTTTCAAACAGTACTGACCACTTGTGGCAGAGAACTGGGCTGTAATTTACACAATTCCAAGAGTGTAGAGCCGTAACATATGTCCAAATATTTACTCTTTGGTAAATCAAACATTTGTGAGAAAATCACTTCAATTATCATATATTCCAACGGAATCTTATGTTTGTTGGGAAACATAAGCAAATTCATAGCACTGTAACGTTATATGAAAAATAAAACCAATCATTGTTTGGCTATACAAATATTAATCACATTTGTATCAAATAATTACCAGTTCTTCCGGTCGGTGTAGTTCTTGTCGATAATCCAATGCAAGTGCTCTTCTATTAAATACCTCTCAATAGAATGAGCGCCGGGAAGGACAGGCCCTTCAGGACAGTCGGTGTAATCAAATAATCGGAATACCACTTTGGGATAGGGGTACACATAATTAGATTCATGCGGCGGCGGCTGTATTTGAGGCAAACTATGTTGCAGTGCTTCGCATAAAACGCTGTCAAATGCCAAATAAGGCCGATATATATGCCGTTCAACCCATTTGTCTGAACGTAATTTCGATATCTGCGCCCAAAAGCAGTCCAAATATTCTTCCTGAGGGTGAGGTGTGTCTGAATACCATACCCTAAGAGCCGTGTGATGGTGTGTCTTATGGCGCTGTACATGAGTTGCAATGAATGGGGAATATAAACAATTATAGGTATGTGTTATCCGAGAGAATAATATGCAAATGAATGCCTTATTGAGATAGTTGTCGATTGTGTTGAGCAACTGTTCCAAGTCCTGCTCCTTCTTCTCGTACAGCTCTTTGCCGACCCACGGAAGCGCTGACAACACACTCAACACAAAGTAATCGGATCGCGACTGAGGGATGTTGTCCTCCATCGACACGTCCACTAAGTTCTCAAACAAATTCATGAGTGAAGCCGAAGATATAACCCGACAGTTCACTAAATCGCCAAAAAAGCGGACCAAAAGGCGCGCCGACTCGAAGTCCAAGGCTTTCAAGTAGTCTTTGAAATGTTTGACCAGCAGTTCCACAATCTTCGTCACGAAAGCAGTTCATTATAAGTTCATTATAAGTGTAATACAAATGCAAACAATCAATGGTTTACTTCTCCTCCGATGCTATAGTTCTTTGCGTTCAAGAGTCCGATAAGAGTTGAATAAATGCATGTCTTCTCCGGATATTTGGCCACACTTTGGGTTCAATTCATATATTGTTAACAAATGAATGCAAAGCACATAAAGTGTCCACAAATACAAACCATTCGCAGATAATTTGAATGATTTTGGTCTTCGAGTTGTCTAAGTCTGCGGTCAACACTTTAGCCAATCCTTCAATGTTGGTCTCAATGGATGACGTGCTCTAAGAATAAAGTGAAGGGTTAGACATCAAAGTGTCACCAGTTGTCCATCCATTCAAACCTTTTCGCCGATTCGGATGATAAGTGACTCGAGACGTGATTCGAGCCCTTCTTCCGATTCAAACTCATTTCTGCGGCGTTTTCGCGGTCTGTCATCACCTGAAGACAAAACACAGGCTATTAGTCATAAGAGGACACACCACTCGTGTACTCATTACTCTCTTCATCCAAAGGTCGTCTGCGACTCATGTCTTGAGTGGAATATCACTGAATTGGTGGTCAAGTGGTGTGGAAGTGGTGGTGAAGTGACGAAATATGGCAAACCATTGAGGTTTGAAAACAATGCATTCATTGGTTGTTTGCAGCGGTTTTTGTGTGCATTTCTGTCACACCATTGGCTCCACACCACTGAGCGCTCACTTTGAATGCCATTATGATTGGCATTGCATTGAATGCACGACACATACGACACGACCACTACATTCATACCGACGAGTCATTGTCCACAGTGTGGACATTCTCATTGAGTACTGCATTCAAAATGATATGATTGCCAATTGAGTTATAAGTCATCCACGAGAGAGAGAAAGAAAGAAAGAAAGAGAGAGAGAGAGAAAGAGAGAAAGAAAGAGAGAGAGAGAGAGAGAGAGAGAGAGTACTGTATTTATTAAATAGTGTATTACAGTTATACTGTTTTGTCTAAAGTTTAGTTCTAAACCCGTTTATAGAGGAGTTTTCAAAATAATAATTATTGTTTCAAGCTAGTTTTTCTAAATGAATTAGTGAATTGTTGGATTAAATATTACATGAGTCTGATAAATTATAATTTATAAACAATCTAAATGTGTCTTTAGGCTTATTAGAGAAAATAGTACAGAGCTGATAAATTGCATACATAATTATTTTGTTCAAGCTAAATAAAAAATCTGAAAGATATACGATAGCAAATTGAAAAGATTTGAAACTGGTTTTATTTAATAAGTTATAATGTATTAATGGTATAAGTTATACTTTAAATGTTATTATATTATATTATTATATGTGGTATAATATAACAATTATATTTGAATATCAGTGTAAAGAACTCCAGACTTTAAAATATAGTGAATTGAAACAAGTTTTTAGTGACACTGTAGTCAAATATTTAAAATATTACTCGATTGTGATTTTTAGTCACTAAAAAGTGTATATCATAGCGTATTATCTACTAATAACTAGGAATAATCTACTGTAGTCTATATACAGTACATATCGTAAGTTAATAAATTGATTACTATATTCTGTATACTGTGTAATAATTATGAGAATAAAATAAATTTCACTGAAATAACTGAATGTAGAGTAATTAATATAACATATTCATAGTTAATAGAAATATTTTATATTCGACATTAATTACAGATATCGAAAATAAATTTTAAAATATTAAAATTTTAAAACTCATTTTAGTAATACAGTATAATCACCTGGATTGATTCGATGGTAAGCCTACAGAAATAATATTTACGATTCAATAAATGAAAACATATGGACAAATTTAATACGAAAACTTTATTCAAAAATATATCATTTTTATGGATTAAGTGCACAATATTTGTTCAAATATTAAGTAATGAATAAATATTTTTATTAAAACATCAAAAATAGAAATTTTGTGCGAAAAGAGTATAACTTTATTAACAAATATAATATAAATATGTGTTGAATGGGTGTAAGAATAACTTTTATATACTATTGTAAATGGAATATAAAAATCAAAAATAAGAGAATTTCAATGAAATTCTTGAATTTTATTACAAATGATTTTGAAAGTAAAAAATAAAATAAATTAAAATAGAAGTCTTAGTGAAATCATGTGTTGAATTGATTTTAAGGCACATTATTGAAACACAGCTCAAGTGATCGGTTCGACTAGTCTTATATTCTCTGACTTTAAAACCATTTATAATCATTGCTAACAATTGAGACCAAAGTTAAGGCAATTGACGTTCACTTAATTTACATTGAAAAATAAATACTAATTTTAGAGAACATTGATAAATATAAAAATTTTGACAAAATTTGTAATAAAAATATATGTTTCGATGAGAATAAGAATCAAATCAAATGAGTCGAGAATTAGCGATATATTGGGCCAACACTTTGCAAACAAAGCGGAACTGTAGTGAGTGCTGAACACTAAGCATACGCTGGAATCGTAATTGTGTCAGAGCTTTGGGAACGTCTAATATCTCAGTGCTGTTGTAGTCCAGGAATTTCAATAGAGAATCACATAGTATTACACAACCACTCCTTCCCACACCAGCGCTGCAGTGAACTACTATCGGGGCTATAGTTTCGTGTCTCTTACGACCTAAACCACTGCCTTGACGTGAAAAGCGTCGGTGAATGGCATCCATTTGCGAGAGGAATGCCAGAAAGCCCTGGACATCGTCCGGACACGAGTGATCATTCCATTCAGTGAACCGCAGGTGCGTTACCGTCCGCTTCTGACCATTCAATGTAATGCTCAATGAACTCGTTATGAATGACATTGACATCGATGTCGAATGGCATACCACCTAATCATCAAAACAAACAAATAATTGTTCATTTCATGTCACTTTACATAACTTTATATCCAATTATAGTTTATAAGCACTTAAAATGCATTTAAAGTGTTGTCAGAAAGCAAAGCATTGGTTCACATTACCTCATAGTCGCCAAACCGGAGCACATTATGTGGGGATTCGTGTGTTAGCGGCAAATATTCAAAACACTTTTGTTGATTCAATTCATAGAAGTTGGTGACCATTACTATAAGATTAACCGAAACATTGACATCGATGTCGAATGGCATACCACCTAATCATCAAAACAAACAAATAATTGTTCATTTCATGTCACTTTACATAACTTTATATCCAATTATAGTTTATAAGCACTTAAAATGCATTTAAAATGTTTTCAAATAATAAGAGTATATGACTTGAATGAATAGCAACAAAAAGCAATGTAGTGATGGTTGTGTAATGGAGTATCAGCGGTTTGGCCTCGTGTAATACACCCCTAAGCACACAATCGCCGTTTATAAGTTTTGTGAAAACAACTAAGTTAAGTATCTTCAACCACTGGTAATGATATTCTAATTGGCTATATTCAAAAATCATTTGCCAAAAGTCGACAGCCGTTGAGGCCAACGGTCCCTGACTTGCGATGTAATGGTTGCGAGTATTTCCCAAATGCATGACAACATGAGAAGCGTTTATGTATCCGCTCTTATTGTCAAATCAGCCGCGGTTGAAATGAGACAAAAGTTAACATTAACATTAAGTTAATTAAAAGTTAAGTTACCGAGTATGAAAATTGATTTTGTTGTTTATATTTGTTCCTAACGTTCGTTACGATATTTTACCACATTTAACTTATCTAACTACGGTAGTAAGCAAATATAGAATTAATTTAGACATAATATTATATGAGTAGTATATCTTGGACTCTATTCTCTAACATTTAATAAAATTCAATGCCTTAATGGGAGGATAATATTACAGAATAACAAGAATATTACAGAATAACAAGAATATTTATCATATATTTTACATGGGATTTGAGCAAACATTGAGCTTTTTAGAGGAACTTGGGCATTTTGGAGGAATTGTCAAAATTATCAAATTGGATACATTTATTCTAATATTTATATAATGCAAAATTATAGAATATACAAGTAATTTACAAAAAGATAATAAATTAAAAATGCTTAAGGAAAGTGGAAATGGGGTCTTATAGCACACATTTTGATAGCGTAAATGTGGGTAAGAGTAATATGTACTGTACCTGTTGTCCTCATATGGAAGGATATCCCTGAACCTATTCCTATAGATGTTGTCAGAGGTGAGAGCAGTGGTGAATTTGGCGGTTGGGTTCATTCGCGGCAATAAATCAAACTCTCGAATGAATTCCGGATCGTTGACCGTCTCTTCCAAAGCGAAAACTCTTCGGTCTTTATTTGTATCACTTATGCCATCAGTTTTGTTATCACTTTTCTTAACCAAATACGAGCCAATGGTTGACGTGATGTCACTGGAGTTTGAATTCCTATTTTCCATAACATTTGGAGTGCTATTCGTTGATATCTGTTGTGTTATAACTATTGGAGAGATAACTTGTGTTGTCTTAAGAGAGTTGTTGTGATTATTGGTGAGAGAATGCTGTTGTCTTTGAGACAAATTATAGACATTTTGTACATTAGATGATTGTCTTAAATGATTGGCTGTTTGTGAGACATTGGAAACGTGTAAACCCTGTGATTGTAATAATTGATCGACGGATGAGTTGATATGTGGAATGGGATTAACATTTGTAGAAAATGCTGTCATTAGCGGAATGTTTGCAATATTAGGTTCCGAACCACTGGTCGCTTGGCGTCGGCTTTGATTTTGGGGAACAGTAACAACGGGTTCGACAATATTGTGGATGAGTTGTGAGGCAAACAATGGCTGAAAACTTAAATCGGGAACACTGTTGAAGGCATAGGGGGGCGGAAGTTTGTGATTGTTTATTAAATACAACAAATGCTGGTTTTCTTGGCCCGACTTCTCATTCAATATGTTTTCATTGCTTTTCGATATATTCAATGAATTGAGTTCAGGAGTACTGCATGTTATGACACCCGATGTTAACTGATGGGCAAGTCTTAAGGGAGAGGCTATGAGTGGTTGTTCCGATTGCAACCAATTCTGTGTTGAGGGCAGAGATGAGCGAACGGCACACTTGTTGTTGAGACCCGTCTGATCCAACTCTAAATTAGACAAATCGCTGTAATTTCTGTATTGCGGATACGGCTGTTGGGGACATATATGACGAACAGATGAGGCAGACGTAGACGCAGAAGATATGACAAAACCATTTGAACCATAATTAGTGAGCGGATGACTAGAACGGGAACCAATGTTATCGACCCCCAGATTTGAATACTTTTGGCTCATAAATGTCTGGTAATCGGGAGGCGGCAGATATGGAGGCAGTAATTGCTTGCGCTGTTCGTATGTCAGATCCGATTCGCAGTGCTGTCGCTGGTGGTCGGCCCACGAGGGCTGATGATGCACTTGAACTGTCGTTATGTTAGAAGCATTGGCAACAGAGTTGTGGCCATCGATCAATTCTTGTAATGGCAGTTCATATACATCGGTGATAGTGGCGTCAATTTCATGTAAATCTGTCGCATCGGCTGCTGAAGTGGCCTGTGGTTGATATAATCACAGACTTAACCACACATAAACGTTACTATACTGTAGTCTTCTCTACCAGACTGACAGAGATATCAACCATCCACTATATTGACTGTTTTGATCCAATCTATCGGCGCTTGCATTCAAATTGT